TTGTATGGTTTCTCTTCAATTGATAATTCCACTATTAAAGGAAGGAGACTGGTTCACCTCCATTGATTTGAAGGATGCTTACTTTAATATTGCCATACATCCAAATTACTGACACTTCCTACGGTTTAAAATTGGGGTGGAGCCTTACGAATTCATGATGTTGCCATTTGGACACTCCACTGCTCCAAGAATGTTCACTAAATGTATGGCACCGGTGTGTGCCCATTTAAGACTCAGGCATTCACATTTACCCTTACTTAGATGAACTGGCTCATCATGGTGGACACCAAAGAATCTCTCATTCAGTCCATTAATGATATTTGTTTTACTTTGGAGAACTTGGGGCTATATATTAATGCAAAGATAGCCATTCTCATTCCTGTGCAAACCATTCTCTCCATTGGAGTGGTGCTGGACTCTCATTCAGCTTGGGCATATCTGCCCAAAGACGACTGCATGGACAAACTGGTACTCTCAGTGTCAATGATCAGATCCAGCCCAAAAGTATCAGTATGATGGATCCAACAATTACTCAGGCATTTGGCATCAACCGTGTCTGTGGTACATTTCACCAGACTGTGTATGTGACCTTTGCAGTTATGGCTCCTAAAGTCCTTCCATCTGGAACATGACCCTCCAAGAAAGCAACTCACTGTTCCGATCACAGTACGCGGCAGCTTCATGTGGTGGACTTGAGAAACTCATCTGTCTCAGGGCTTGCCATTCCAACCAGTGGAACCAACAGTCACCATTACCACATACATGTCGCTCACAGGCTGGGGTGCCTACTCTGAAGGACTAATGACAGCTGGCCCATTGGATCATCGGAAACATCACTTTGGCATATGAACTTTCCTCTTTAGACCTGCCACACAATCCACGAGTGCATTCCGGAAAGGCTATATCTACTTCTTCTGCCCTCCGTGTAGGACTTCCGATTGAGTAACTGTGCAAAGCAGCAACACAGGCAACACTGTTGACATTTTTTCAGACATTACAAGCTGGACATTAGGGTGAGGAAAGACTGCTCCTGTGGGAAGGCAGTACTGTCCTCCATACTGCAATAACTGGGACATCCATAAACTCTTCTGCTGTCATACGTAAAGGTTTATGAATTCAACTAAAGAGGACAATTTATATTTATAGAGGGGTGTGTGTATGTGTATCTGTGTTTATACTGATGTTAATGGTGTGCATGACAGATAATGGTGTGTATTGGCTGACAGATTGATACTAATGCAGCAGGATGTCATGAATGGTGACTATATTTCTAAATGACGCTTCCCACCACCATTGAGGGATGCTTGCTAGTCACCCATATGTGTGATGCACAGAGAGAATGACTAAGAAATGCAGATTGCTTGCCTGTAACTGTAGTTTCTCAAGTGGTCATCTGTGTATTCACACAGCCCACCCATGTCGGTGTTGTCTGATTGTACCTGTATAGCAGACTGCTGCCTTTTGACTTGAACAATTAGGAAGCTAGCAGACCAAATACATTCATTGCAAATGTCGGTCCCAAGTAGAACTGAAAAAACGGCAGGAGCCCTTTTATGGGAGTGGGGGGCAGACTCCATGGAAAGTCCTAGGCTGAGCTAGAGAAATCTTCCTGAACAGAGGCACTGTGCAGGTGCAGCACCCATATGCGTGAATGCACAGGTGACCACTCGAAGAAGTACAGTTACAGGTATGCAACTTGCATTTTTCTGCATCTTTCTTAAATACTGGTACTCAGAACTGGACACAGTATTCCAGATGAGGTCTGACTAGTGAGGAGTATAGAGGAACTACTACTTCTCGTGATTTGGAAGTATTACTTCTGTTAATGCATCCCAAAATAGCATTTGCCCTTTTTGCAGCTACATGACATTGTTGGCTCAGATTTAGCCTGTTGTCCACAATTACTCCGAGATCCTTTTCTTTTTCAGTTCCGTTGAGCCATGTATTCCCCAGCTTGCATCAATGCCTTTGGTTTCTTTTTCCTAGGTGGAGGACTTGGCATGTGTCCCTACCGAATCTCATTCTGTTGCTTTCAGTCTTGTGTTCAAGTTTATCAAGATTGCTCTGAATCTTCATTCTTCCTTCTAGGGCATGAGTCCTCAAACTATGGCCTGGGGGCTGGATCCGGCCCGTCATGCCCATTTATCCGGCCCACCATGCCCATTTGGATGTGCCACACCCACGTACGCACCACCGCCCACCTCACCCCACGCCCAGGGAGGCAGCGGTTTGCTCGCTCGGAGAAAACGATCTCCAAGCAAGCAAGCCGCTGCCTCGTGCACCTGCCTTGTGGCACGTGCCCACCTGCGCCTCGCCTCGCCTCACTGCGCACTTCGCCTCAGTACACATGCCTACACGCGCCGCCCATGCCCCTGTGCCAGCCCATGCGCACCACCAGCACCACCTTTCCAGCCCACACTCAGCACCGGCAGCTTTCAGCTGGCCCCTGGTGGAAAAGTTTGACGACCCCTGTTCTAGGGTGTTTGCTATTCCACCCAGTTTTGTATCATCTGCAAATCTGATTATCTTCTGCAAATTTGATTATCCTTGTACTTCCTCATCTAAATCATTAATAAAGATGTTAATAGCACAGGGCCCAGGACTGAACCCTGTGGCACCCCACTAGTTACCTTCATCTAGTCTGTGAAGGTGCCATTGATGAGCACTCTTTATATCCAAATTAGCAGCCAATTTGGAATCCACCTAATAGTGTTTTTATCTAGTCCAGTTTTTGCTATTTTGCTTATCAGAATGTGGCAGGGCACTATGCCGAAAGCTTTGCTAAAGTCTAGGTAGATTATGTCCACAGTATTCCCTCTGTCTATTTGGGACGTTACCCAATCAAAAATTGAAATTAAATTAGTCTGACAGGATTTATTTTTGATAAATCCATGTTGGCTTCTATTAATCACTGCATTTTCTTCAAGATGCTTGCAGACTGATTTTTTAATAATTTGCTCCAGAACTTTTCCAGGGATTGATGTCAGAAGCTTTTTCAGCATTTAGAACTTCATCAAATAGTATAATTCTTTTCACAAATATTAGCAATTCTTTTCAAAACTATTAGCAATTTATCTAAATTATGATGTGATTAGCAATATTTTGGTTCTTTGCCATATGTTTGTGTATGAAGTATGCACAGTAGGAGAGAATCTGAAAAGTGGGAGAAGGGAACTGATTCCTTCCCCCACTTTGCTTCCTTATACTTTGTCATCCCAGACATTTCCTGCCAGCTTCACCCATTCTTGATATTGGAACCTGGCTTGGAGAAGAGTTCTTGGATGGTAGGGACGTTTCAGCTGACCTCTATCATGCTCCCATTTGGATTATATATCAGACCAGCATTCCTGCCTGTACATTTTAAAAGCATTTGTTGCTGCCATAGCAAAGCTCTCCCAGACATCTTAAAAATGGAATTAGCTTTATATACATAGCAGGAACGTTATGCTTCCAGCTGGTTTTCAGTACAGTCCATTTGTGATGCTTCCTGTCCAGGCCCTCTGTGCTCTTCCTCTTGCTCAAAAGAGCAGCCATGTTGATCAGATTAAGGGTCCATCTAGCCCAGCCTAGCATTTTGTTCACACCATGTTCCGCCTCTTAAGAATCCCACAGGTAGGACATGAGAGTACTAGCACTCCCCCACGTACGTTTTCCAGCAACTGGTATACATGATGTCTGAGGTAGTGTGTAGCCATAATGACTTTGATAGCCTTATCCTCCATGAATTTTTAAATTCTTCCCTTTTTAAGGCCATCCAAATTGGTGGCCATCACTATGTATTGTGGTAGTGACACGGCTTAACTCTGTCCTGTGTGAAGTAGTCCATCCTTTTATCTGAAACCTCGCACCTTTCATCTTCCTGGGATCATCCCATGTTCTGGTATCATACAGAAAAATATCTCTTTATGCACTTTCCCCATGCAATATATAACTTTGCATATATCTGTCAAACTTCCTCTTCCTTGCCTTTTATTTCTACCCTAAATTTATTCCCTTGCTTTTTCTAAACATCTTCCCCCAATCTGGTGCCTCCTCCTCCTCTGGGTGATTTGATACCTCAGTGAAATTTTGGTCTAATTATGGAAAGATCTTACAATTTGTACAGCACTTCCTTTCAGAGGTGGTTTAGGTCAGGAATAGGCAGAAGGTAAATCTGAATCTAATGACAGATCTCTACATGACTTGCAGTAGATAAGCAGGGATTTTAGACTCCCAAATGTTTAACAATAGCAGCAGCAACAAAATGAAATGAGGAAAGTTTGTGGTAACCCAGAGTGGGTTTAAACATAGAAGAACTGTGAGTTCTTGGGCTTAGAATTCTTTAATTCTAAACGTGTGCCTTCTGTACCAGACCTTGGTTGGTGGATGTAGAAAAGAAGATTAAGTCCTGCAAGTCTGGAGTCTATCCACCCTTGGCATAGAATATGTTGACTTTCTGCTCTACAGAGTCCTTCACATCAGCATGCTGAGCAGAAGGTCTGCCTCTTTCTTCTCAACTGACTGCCTCAGCAAAGGCATTTGGAAGCTGTGGAGCTGCTGGGGTTGTGGGGGCAGTGCATAAGCAGGAGAGTGCTTTTGTTGTCATGCCCTCCCTGTGGGATTCTCAGAGGCAGGACAAGGTGTGAACAAAGTGCCGGACTGGGCTAGATGGAGCCTTAATCTGACTAACAAGGCTGTTCTTATAAGGAAGAGTATGGAGGATCATGACGGGAAGCATCACAAGAAGGGAGGTGGCTTCATGGCCACAGCTGATGAAAAGTGTGATAGACAGATACCTGCCTTCTCCTTCTTCTCCCCTGGTGGCCTCAGTGATAGCAGCTGGTAGCCAGAGAGAAGGAGTTATTCAGCTGCAGCAGTATCTAAGCATGATGGAAGAGTGTGTTGCTGCTGCTTTCATGGGTTTAAAAACTATAGACGAATAAGCACACTTCAGTTCACTCCTTTAACAATTACCCTTTTCTGTCATTTCTGTCTGTTGTTTTGTTTATTAAAAAAACTAGGAAAGACCATTTTTGTCAGAAGCAGCAAAGAGAAAGGAGAAGGATTTAGTAGCAAAAGAAATAGAGAAGTTTTGTGGATCCATTCAAGCCCTTTGCCGGAGTGCTCTCCTACTTGGAAAAATCATGGACTATATTCAGGAAGATATGGATGCCATGAAGAATGAGCTCCAGATGTGGCAGAATGAAAATAAACAACTTGAAGAGGCCCTCCAGAAGGAACAGAGGTGAGGCTCTTAAGACAGCCGGTGAAGACTTGGTTAACATGCTAAATCTTATCAATTTCTCAAGTTAATCTTTGCATGATGAATCAGAGTGGAAAGCTGAGGGAGAGGCCAGGGTAGGAGAAGTCTCTGCCAATATTTAAAGTTGTCTATTATTGCAGAAAAATATTGATGGAGTCAGAACACACCCAAATCTTCAGTGGTGCAAGGGAAATGCATGCACATTTCCCTCCAGCTGCCAGGTATATGCCATTGTATCAGACTGAAAGTGAGTAACCACTAACTTTCAACTAGCCTTTCTTACCATAAGTTGTGTGAGGGCTGGCACTCAGCTAAACAATCAGCTAGCATCATAGAGTATTGTCAGACACTGGGATGGCAAAGGTTAAGGAGTGTCATCATGCAAGCCCCCCCCCCCCCAATAGCTTACCTGGGGCCAGGGAGCTTCCTAGCCTTCTCCTGGGCTGTCTGCCTTTGAGGACTGGGAGAAATTACTTTCCACTGGACTCATTCCTTGCTTCCTTTTTGCCTGATCTAGCAGTGTAGGAGTCTTCCAAGACCCTTCCATTCACTATCAGAGGAAGAGCACATGATGGTTTTACAGTGAAATGTGAGATTGAAATTTTCTAAATAAGTATGTTATTTTAACTGACATGGGCGAAATGGGCCAGTAGACTAGAATTCGATGTGGGAGGATAGGCCTGTCATCCAGCTTCCACTGTGTCGCCTCTAGTTAATCTAGCTAATCCAGATAACTGTCCAAGTATAGTAGCTGCATTCTGAATTGCAGCTGTTTTCCCAAGGCACATGCTGGTCAATAGAATCGTAAGACTGATGGCCCAGGATTGAGAACAGCCTCTGATCTTTTCAGATTATGTGAAAATGCTATAGAACGTCGAAACGTTTGCTTTGTGTATCTCACTTAAATACTGTCCTTCCTCCAAAGGAGCTCAGTATGTAAATATAAGATCATGTGATTTCATCCATACAACAATCTTGTGATTAGACTGAGAGTGTATGACTTATCCAAGGTGACCCAAATGAGTTTTCTGGCTGAGTACAAGATCCAAAGTCTTCCACCACCCAAATCCTTTTCTTAGGCCAGATTAAAAGCTCTTTCCATATTGGCTGCACCAATTCATTGTGGTCTCTGTGCATCACACACATGGGAAGATTCCTGTTTTTGGGAAGATTCAGCTATAACGGTTTTTGGCGAGAACTCCACTCCCCTACCCCCTCGTATAAATTGGGTGGAGTCCCCACCCTCTCACCAGTCTGCTTTCGACTGCTGTTCGCTGTGCCTCAGGTTCTTTCTTTGCTTCAATTCCCTCTTGTACTTCACTTACCTTTAAACTTATCTTTACAACTTTACCCAAAATACTTTATCACCTCAGTCCCTAACCTTCATCACAAAACCTTATCCTTGCACTCCCTTCCCCTTCCCCCCCATAAACTCCCCTCCCCCCCCTCAAATAAACCCTTCTATCATCTCTCTTACCCTTATTTTCCATTTTTCTCTTTCTCCTTGTTAGAGCAGTGTTCTGCTTTTAGAAGGTGTGGCCAGTGCGGAGTGAAGATGCTGTCCACAGACATGCTGTTGGCACAAATCTGCTTGATTTGTGTCGGTGAAGGTCATCATGTGGACAAATGTGTTCATTGCCAGGCCTTCACCAGACAGTCTCACAAAAACAGAGAATTGCTTCAAAGTCCTCTGGGACAGGGCTTTATTGGCGATGAGAGAGGCTAACGCAGCTCCACCTGCTGGTCTTTCTACCTCTGAAGGAGACTCTCCCCGCCATACAGATGAAGGGGAGAGCGCTAGAACTGAGAAAGATCACTCAGGACAGTCTCAGTCTCCTAAGAAATGTAAGGAGAAAAGGAAGCACCTTGAGACCGAAGGAACCACTAAGGGAAAGTGTCCCAAGAAAGATAAACTGGAGAGGAAGAAGAAGAAACACATTTGGCATGGAAAGACGTACCATTTCCACATGTAATGGAACTGAGTGCCTCGGTAACGAGTGAGCCTCCAGTTCATCCGCCATTGATCCGGACAACTCCCCGACCATCTCCTTGTCACATACCGAGCCCTTCTCCATGGCCATCGCTGAGGCCATGATTCAGTCCAGTTGAGTTGCAAGTTCCAGAACCAACAGTGCAGACCTCGATATCAGAGGGAGAGATGCGGGAGTCCGCCATCCACTCTCCATCACCTTCTGATTGTTCGGTGCAATCTGTCCACGAACATCAGGAACTGACTCACCCTCCCACTCCAACTCGCTATGGTCAGCTATCCCCAGACACCTCACCAGGATTGATCCGTTGGCTACCCCCTCCTTTTGAAACCAGCCCGTCTCGTTATGAAAGGAGCCAAGACTGAATGCCACCTCCATACGGAGGATATGGATCTGGAGGATACAGACCTGGATATCTGTGAGAATACTTCCAGCCCTGCAGGTATCCATACCCACCACCACCAGTGTGTTACAGACAATCCTCCACATACTTGCTGTCTATGTCTAAGGAAGAACTGACTGCCTCAGCGACCACCGCTACCCATCCTCGAGATTTTGGCTCAATCCTCTTCTTCAAGCACTGCCTAACTCTTGGAGTGAGATTCTGAGGATACAGAACAGGCATTGACATCCCCTGACCGTATGGTATTGGCTCAAGGCCCGAGATTGCCTGATGAAAGTATGGGACACTTCTCTGAACTGCTGTTCCTTATCTCGACCTCCCTATGGATCAACATCCAACAACATACGGATCCAGAGCAAGATAACATCTATGATGTCATCAGGATGGAGGACACAGTTCCAGTGGCTCTACCTTTGATATCCACCCTACATCAGGCTATGATGAAGCCTTGGAAACTACCCAACCATCCACATCCTACCTCCTATTCTACTTCCCTGAGTCGATGTATAAGGTCAGGGAACTGGACATTCCATTTCTGCTGCGGCACCCGCATCCCAGCTCGGTGGTCATCAAGTCCACTCAGGCTTGGCAAACCAGAAAACACACTGCACTGACCAATCATGAAGGACAGAAAATTGATATGAAGTCTTGCTGAATCTCCCCTGCCATCAGCCTTGGACTCAGGATCTCCAATTATGAGGCCACTCTGGCCTGCTACTGGTATTTTCTGTGGCAGAAAATGGACTCTTCATTGGCGAGGTGATGCAGCTCTCCAAACAACAGTTAGCAACAGCGAGACATCATGTTGACTGCGACTCCAGGGTGCTTGTCAGTGCAGTGGCTCTCCAGATGGCATGCGTGGCTCCAGGCCGGTAATGCTGGTCTACAAATTTTGGGAAATTATCAACCTCTGAGATAAAATGTGGTAATTCTTACATATTTTGATTAGCTGAATTAGAAAACAGGTGATAAAGGTGCTTGTTGGGTAAAATTTTCAAGATATTTCACAGTGAAGATTTATACACAGGCGAGTATATTTGCCTACAAGGGAGGGAGGTGTCTGATGATCATGATGCCTCGTAACTTCTCGGCAAAGTACGGCAGGACAATGAAAATGGTACCACATGGAAGTGTATAAATTTATCTTCACTTTGAGACTACAGATTATTACCTAACTGTAATTTATTGTTCTTTTATCGCAAGGTACATTTGTCTTGGTCTACGTACGCATCATACAGTTACATCTGGTGGCCTGTGAAAGTGTCATTTCCAAGGAACAGTTGCCTGATATTTTCCCTCAGAAGCCAAGATGCCTCGAAACTGTATAAACCACACAGATAACTTCGGCTACGTTTGTGGCGAGGCTACATTTGCATCTCAAAAGTGCAGTATGATGGCAGTGGTAAAAAGGCATATATTTTGGATGCAAAATAGGGGATCAGGACAGGAGTTGGGCCCCTCATTATTGTTGCAGCACAAGCGCAACTTATTTGCGTCATTGGCTAAACAAGAAGAAAAAGTCCACGCCTTTCGCAGTCCCAATGGTGTGGAGGGAACCCACCAGTCATAGTAGCAAGTGCTATTTTTGTATGGTTCCCCCAGTTAAAAACCAATAAATGAATGGAAAGTTATGTTATGGTCTCAAAAAGATAAATTTATAATGATTGGTGTGGCACCATTCTCATTGCTACATTTATCTTACCAGACTTAAGTTTATCTACCACACCTGATCACCCAACACCAAGGCAGCGTTCAGCATCAGACATGCAAACTTACAGCGTGACTCATACAGTAACGTCAGTACCGACAGCTTCCTCGGTACCAACGGCAACTTCAGTATCGACGACAACCTTGGTACTGACAAATTTAAACCCACACATACAATTCATTCTGCAGTCCACATTTAAGACCAAATACTCAATGAACATATGGTTCAATTTGGAAACTTTTTACACACTTTGCTGCCAGTAACAACTTTTTACCTGAGCCTGCAACTATTGAGAACATTTTACAATTTCTTCTCTCATTACACCAAGGAGTCTTAAAACCTTCCATCAAGGAGTATGTTGCAGCCATTTCATACCATAGAGGACATATAAAGGGTCCATCTGTGTTCTCAACACCAGTTAACACACGAGTTCCTACGATGACTACAAAACCTATACCCTTCAACCTGGAGCCTGTCAGTTTTTCTGCAGGCATTAATGAAACCACCATTTGAGCCTCTGGTCTCCATCAATTTACGGCTGCTGTCTTGAAAAATGGTGTTTCTAGTGGCTATATCCTCCATCAGAAGGACTAGTGAGCTATGTGTCCTTCACGTCAACCCCCGTACCTCATTTTTCATAAAGAGAAGATGGTCCTTCGCACGGATCCAACATTCCTCCAGAAGGTAGTGACGGCATTCCATCTTAACCAGGATACAGTCCTACTGACATATATTCCAGCGCTGTCGACACTGATCGAGCATTCACTACATAGCCTCAGTGTGTGCAGATCCCTTGCATTCTGTTGGTCCCAAACTGAATCATTTTGAAAAAACAAATGACTGTTCATTAAATACTCTGAACACGACAAAGGAACACCAATAGGACCTCAGTGCCTTTCGAAGTGGATCGTAGGAACTATACAACTCTCCTACCAACTTGCCAAACTGGACTTGCCTGTTGCTCCAAAGGGACATTCCAGCAGAGCCGTTGCTACCTCATCTGCCCTACGTGCAGGCATACCTGTGGAGGACTTACGCAGTGCTGCTACATGATCGACTCCATGCACTTTTACCAAACGCTGCCGCCTCGACGTGAAGGCTAGACTGGACTGCTCCTTTGGCTGTGCCTTCCTCTCTGCTGTACTTCAATAGCAACACCGTCCCACCTCCAGGTGGGTAAGCTTGCTAGTCACCCATATGTGTGATGCACAGAGACCACGTTGAAGAAAGGCAGGTTGCTTACCTGTAACTGTCAATCTTTGAGCGGTCATCTGTGCATTCGCACAGCCCACCCGCCGGACCCACATCACTGTTGGCGACTGGGTTCATATATCCCAAATTTAATTTTTCCTAAACTTACACTTCCTTGCTGGTACCAGCTGGGGGCGAACGGGCGGTCTTCAGCTGACTGGCGAGATGGCGGGGACTCCACCCATTTATACAAGGCGGTGGGGGAGCGGAGTTCTGGCCAAAACCTGTTACAGCTGAGAGAATCTTCCCGAAAACATGCACTGCGTAGGTGCAGCACCCATATGTGTGAATGCAGATGACCACTCGAAGAACAGTTACAGGTAAGCAACTTGCCTCTCAGTGCCTTACAGTGATTTGTCAATGCATATTTATGATGTGAGCTGCATTGTCCCAGAAATGGAACTCCATGAAATTAATGGTTATCATCTGCCTAGGACAGAGATACAGAACCTGCAGCATGTGCCCCTGCCTCCAGACTTTAATTGCAGTTTTCAAGAGTGCTGTCCCCCCTTGCACTGCCAAAACTCCTTTTTGAGCAAAGCTGATACCTGCAGAGATACCTGCATCAGGATCACTGGGAGACGGGGGGTCACATTAGGTTTGTAGGATGGATCCTTATTATTTCTGATTCACAGATGGAAAAGTCAGACACAGAGCAGCATGCTTGCTTAAAATCAACACGTATATGGCTAAAGCAGGTTTGAATACAAGACTGCCAGACCTCATTCCAGCAGTCTGTTGAACCACTCTTGGTTCTCTCAGCTTAATCTTTTACGGTGATTCTCTCTCCCTACCTTCTCCTGCACTTCCCACGATTGAGCCCGATCCAACGTCACTGGCAGGCAAATAGTTGGATTCAACCCACAGACAAACTCTTAGGATAATTTTTTTAGAGTGTATTTCTAAGGAGCTTTCCCTTTGCTTCTCCTGTCGTGCCAATGCTATTACATACCCAGGACAGATTGATAGTCCTTCTGTGTGATATCTGCTTGTGTCTCTTTCAGTATCACAGATAGTGTTGTAGAACCCCTGAAAGCAGAACTTGCAGAATTGGACCAGTTGATCAAAGATGAGCAAGATAAGATTTCTGCTAAAAGGTCTAACATTTTAAAAGATGATGAAAAAATTCAGAAGATGGTCCATAATATCAGCTCAAGAAGGTGAATGGTGCAAAGTTTAAAAGGCTGGATGTATTTTTATTTTCTACAAAGCAGAAGAAAGAAACTAACTTACATAGAGTACAAATAAAACTGTTTCATACAAGTGGCATATGCAATCTCAAGTTGATTTATTCATATGATTGTTTATGACCGTCCTCAAGGATTGATGCTGTTTGGGTACAATTTGCCATGCATGCAACATTTGCAGGTTAAAAATGCACTCAATGCAGAACATCCACTATGTTTAACCTATGATAGCAGGGTTTCCACTATAGTTGGCAGAGGCCACTTTCCTGGATCCTTTAATACTATTTTCTTGTGATAAAGCATGGTTCCCTTCATTTCTCTCTCTCTCTCTCTCTCTCTCTCTCTCTCTCTCTCTCTCTCTCTATATATATATATATATATATATATATATATATATATATGGCATATATATATATATGGCATATATATATATATATGCCATATATGGCACAAAATGCCATATATATATGGCATTTTGTGCCAATAGAAACTCTTTTACTACTTTATACAGAGAATGAAGTTTAGGAAGTTTATAGTTCCTGGATTGTTCTGGAACATTTCCCTGTGTTGGCAAATCTGTTTCAAAAGAAGGAAAATAATTTTTGTAGATCAAGGAACAAATTCTGTTTCCCCAGATTTTCTTAAGTCATACAGCACAGAACAAAAGCCATTTATGTGTATTGGTTAATTATATTTATATTGTCTTCTATTACTTGTTAAGAATTGGTTCTTTTTTTCCTCCTTGTCCTTGTATGTTTTTAAATTAAATCAGAGTAATTAATAAGTGGAGGTAGGTGAGAGGTTATATGTGTTAACGCAGGCATGGGGTAGGTGTGGGTTTTGCTACTGATATCCACAATACAATTTTGAAGAGTTCTTGGTGTATTTATTCTCTGGAACCAACACATATTGGTGAACAGCCCTGGTTTGTGGCCTCAAGAATCCTTACCATCATCTAATGGGATCTTGTCTGTGGTGCTGAGTTTCTGTAGTGCTCCAAGTGCCTCCCTTTGTAACGCCAGGTCAGAGGGAATCCCCTTTTCAATTATTCTGAAATTTTACTGTGTTGCACTGCATTTCCGCGGTGCTAAGATCACCTACAAAGCACATTCCCGGATGGCAAGTCCCACCCATCCTTGGGACAAGGGAATCTTTGTAGGCGTGCTAGCTTCTAGAATGTCCCGAGCACACAGCACAGAGCTCCAGCCTCCTGATTGCCAAGGGAATCAATGGTTGTTGAGAGAGTTGTTCTGTTCTTCTAAAGCTTCCCGTGCCTCTGAAGTAGAGCGTGAGTGCTGCATTCCATGCCCATCTCTGAATTTAGTAGGGCATTGGAAGTCGCCTTTGTTGGAGCGCACTTCCAAGGTGCTTAGAGCACTTCAGAGCCGCAAAACAGCTGCAGGAATTTTCCTCCCCACTATGAAGTTTGGAAGAACCTCTGAAGAATGTCATCCTTGCCGGAAGGGAGCGGGTGAACACACTGTCCATGTCGTGTGGGTTTGTGCCTGTGCATGGAATTAGTCCTTTATCACATAAATATATGTTACATACAGGCTTGATTCACACAAGTTGGCAGCTGAATCCATGAGCAAGAGAGATGAGCAAGAGAAAGTGGCTACGTTGCCTGCAGCGTGTGCAACACTTCCACTTTACTCACCAAGCCACAGTTGTCTCCTTTGTGGATTGCGTAGCGCATTGTACAAGCCTGAAGCACATGCAGGAGCAAAACATGAGTTGCTGAGTAAAAGCGGAGCTGGCAGGTGCTGTGCAGGCAGCAAATTCACTTTCTCCCATCCAAGCCCAACATCTGAAACTTTGTTTATTCTTTTGAGGTTATGCCATTATTTCAGTGAATTTGACTTGAGTTGCAGGGGATGGGGGTTCCGATGAATATAAGAACTCTCACTTTTATTCTTTTTACAAATTTACCATCAAATGTCCTCATCAGAGTTACATTACTCATCAGTTAGGTACATTGTGAAAGAGAATTATAGTTTCATATCTGCAGTTTGAATTTTCATGTGTTAATTCATTGAGGAGCCTGGAAAAAAAACAGAGGCTTGGGGAAAATACCATGCAGAAATATATGAAGCAGCTATTTAATAAATTGTGGTGCAATGTCTGGATCTGATACCACATCAAAACATTTGCTTGGAAGTAAATTTGATCTACCAATAAATAACCATGATTAGGTTTGCTGTTGAGCAGTGTGCCTGATTTGGTTATAAATGTGCTAACTGGTAGATTTTTGTTTCTTGCTTTTCACTGATATAGCCTGCTTGATTTTATTAAGGTGAGGTCTCAAAATTCATATCATAATTGTTTTAGCATATATTTTGAAGAACTGCAGAAATTTCCCTTAGCATATAATGTTGTTATATTTAGCTGATTTTGAATAAAATATCAATTTTGCATTCCCAGAAGAGAAGGGAAACTCTGCTAAAAAAAAGCCACAAGGTATCAGCAGAGGTTGTTAGGCTACTTAAGTTGCCATCTTTTCAAAATGCATGCAACTGTACACTTGTGACTTAATTCAATATCTGAAATATCCTATCATATTTCTGTATGAATCTGTATTTATGGTTGAACTCTTTGTGCTAGAAGACTTCACCATATCCTATCTGTGAATAAAAATTGTACAGATAAAAAATTGTATTATAAATTGATTTTTATATAAATTAAAATTTTATTTTTTTCTTTGAATAGTGATGTTTAGATTGTACAGTTACTTTAGAAAGTCAATAAAATAAGAAACTTAATTGTTGTATATAAACTACTGTTGTGATGCTGTGATCATCTCATTCTTGCAAACCTAACTTGAATCTCAGAGGGAGTCTATATATAGGATACATGTACAGGTCAGCATCTCAGAACTGAAAGGCTCTTCAGAGAATATGATACTTTTCCTAGAAGGGGGTAACTTGAGGTATATGCAGACCTTTTCCCCACACGTTCTGTGAATGTGTGAGGGAAATATCAGGAGCACACCACTGACTTCTCCTCCAGTTTATTTATTATTTATTTATTTATTAAAACATTTTTATGCCGCCCCATTCGCCGAAGCCTCGGGGTGGCTTACAACGTTAAGTTAAAAAATAATTATAACATTAAATTAAAAAATACAAACATTAAGTTAAAATGCAAAAATAACAATATAAAATAAGTCGCCCTGGCCAGATGACCATGACTTGTGACATGCACATTTGCACACAATATGCATACAATATCTGTGCATGTAGATGTGCTCCTGGAGGGGCCCTCCTTACAAACTGGAAGACTTGGCCATTCCTGACTGTACACATCTATAAATGGGTACCTCACAACACACACACTGGCAGCAAACACAGGGCTGCCAGGCGGCATGGCCAGTGCATGCAGTGCTGCCAAGGGGATGTATACCCACCCCCCAAGTGTTCCTTGAAAGTGTGTGCAAGTCTGCTAAATCTTGCCCACTCCTCAAGAGTTTAGTTAAAGAAACTTAAATCATTTTCAGCAATATTACTGCCTATTATTATTAGTATATTTCAGGTAAGGTCCAAAGAGAATAGAGATTTCTCCAAACTGAATTGGGCTGCTTCCAAAGTTTCAGGCCTGCTTCAACAATTAACCATTGTTCTTGGACTTGCACTAGTCCAAAGGAAACTACAGCTGCTACTGTAGTCTTCATAGTACTGACATCCATGCAATAGACAAGGTCATAGAATAGTGGAGTTCGATTAGGCTAGAGGACCATTGGGTCCGACCCCCTGCTCAGTGCAGGACTCCAAGTTAAACCATCCCTTTCAGATGGCTGTCCAGCTGCATCCTGAATGCCTCTAGTGTGGAAAAGCCTACAAGCTCCCTAGCTCTTGGTTCCATTGTTGTCCTACCCTAGTAGTCAGGAGGTTTTTCCTGATCTTTAGTCAGGATCTGGCTTCCTATAACTTGAGCCCATTTTTCCATCTTCTGCATGTTTAGCCTTGAGAAGAGATCCTGTCCTTCCTGTTTGTGACAGCCTTTCCAGTACTTGCGGAGTGCTATCACATCTCCCCTCAGTCTTCTTTTCTTGAGGCTAAATATGCCCAGTTCTTCCAGTCTCCCCTCATAGGGCTTGGTTTCCAGTTCCCAGATCCTTGTTGCCCTCCTCTGAACCCTTTCCTGCTTGTCTGCATTTTTCTTAAACTGTGGTGCCCAGAACTGGGCACAGTATTCCAGAGGAGGCCTAACCAGTGCTGAGTAAAGGGAAACTAGTACTTCATGTCATTTGGAAGTGACACTATGTCACTTGCAAATGCAACCCAAAACAGCATTTGCCCTTTTTGGAGGCACATCACATTCAGTTTGTGATCTACAACAATTGCAAGATCCTTCTCACTTGCATATTTTTGAGCCAAATATTCTGCATCTTGTACCAATGTATTTGATTTTTTCCCCTAGGTTCAGAACTTAGTTTTGTCCCTCGTGAATTTCATTCTGTTGTTTTCAGCCCAGCACTCCTACCTATCAAGATCACCTTGAATCGTCTTTCTGTCTTCCAGCTGTCCCACACAGTTTTGTGTCATCTGCGAATCTGATAATTGTTTCCTATGCTTCCTCATCCAAATCATTAATAAAAAAGTGGAAGAGCACCGGGCCCAGGACTGAATTCTGCAGTACCTCTCTTGTTACCTCTTCCCAGTCTGAGAAGGTGCCATTGAGGAGTACTCTTTGAGTCCATATCTGCAGCCAATTTTGGACCCACCTAATAGTTTTTCTATCTAGCCCACTTTAAGCTAGTTTGCTAGTCAAGATACCATGGGGCACTTTGTCAAAAGCTTTGCCAAAGTCAACATAGATCATTTCCACAGCATCCCCATGGTCCACCAGGGAGGTTACTGTCAGGATCTGAATTACTCTGCAGCATCCCTCACTAGCCTCAGTTCACTTCTAGTTTTTGTCTTCCTCATGCCATTTCTGCAGTTCCATGTACCTGCCTGTATTCTTTGTGGCCTTGCCTTCCTTCCACTTCCTATACATGTCCTTTTTGGTTTTCAGATAACCTCTAAGCTTTTTGTGAAGTCACATGGTATTCTTCTCTTGTCGTCTACCTTTTTTCCTTGTTAGAACTGTTTGTAATTGTGCCTTTAGAATTCCCTTTTTAAAATTTGAAAAAATCCCCAACCATCTTGGGCTCCTTTTCTCATTAGAGCCACTTGCCATAAGACTTTACTTACCATAGTTCTGATACGATTAAAATTGGCTTTCCTGAAAATCATGGTACATGCTTGGCTATATTTGACTTTGCTTCCTTTAAAATCAAGAATTCAAGTCTGGCATGGTCCCTTTCCCCCAGAATTCCCATAGTTGCCACTTTGCCCACTGGGCCTTCCCTGCTGGTTAGTATCAAGCAAGCTGTTGCTCTTGTTCCTTTTTTCACTTGGCTGTTGAAGTTACCAGCAACACAGACTGTTTGTAAATATTAGGGTGCAATCCAATCCAAATGCTCAGAGAACTTGGAGGATTGTGGTCATACTGTGGAGGGTAGGAAAAATACAGAAATGACCTTCGGCTCCAAGCTCCTCTTGCCAACTCGCTGAGATGCTTTGGAGTGGGAGGGAAGGAGACTGAGGTGCCACTAAGTTACCTCATACCATGGTGGGACTTGTCTCCCCGCCCCCACCTGCCATTCCCCCCAAGAATGCTGCAAAAACCCAATGCCAGAGTCACATGTGTGACTTCGAAGAAGCAGCCAGTGTTCTTTTCCGTGTTGGGTGCTCAGAGACCCAGCCAGAAGGTCAGGTTGCTCTTCCAACCTCATAGCTGGATCTCCAAAAGATTTCTGTGGCCTTCTAGAGGCTCTGTAGTGTCACTAGAGTTGGGCTGCCTCTGTATTGATAACTATGTTCATAAGACCAGCAGTAACTCCATTTTCTATTCACTAAATATGCATCACATGCAGAAAGCTTCATTATCTGGCCTGGTGCTTAACAGAGGGGCAACTGCTTCCAGGGAAACCTATTTTTTGAGAAAGGAAGGAAGTTAATGTACTGGACTCTTATTTTTTAAAAAAAACCTGCTGTATTTAAAGGGCAGGTTCAAATGCTGCCTTGGACAAAAGGGGTGACTGCTACTGACAGCTGTAGAAAGTCCCAACTGGAATGAAAAAGCTTATAGATGTATGGGACATTATCTTATGGGATCTCTCTTATTTGCCTTGTTTGGATAGCAAGAAAACTACCATTCCATTTCCATGACAAAAGTAACATAACCACATGTTATGCAAAACACCAGGGCATTTCAGAAGCTGCGCTATAGTAGTGCAGGAAACATTTCCCAGTGGTGTGATAGGGTGCTGCTCTTGAATGCATCTGAATATTTGGAACACAGCCCAGCTATGTGAGGATCACAGGAAGTCCCATGTCACTAGGAAACTCTCGCATGCATTCAGATATTACAACTGTGTGGAATTGCCCCACAGGGAAGCATTCCTATAGCAGTTGAGATTGTGAAAGGGATGCTTTCCAGGTGTGGCAAACACAGACTTTTATTAATGTAGTTGCCTAGATCCTCAACTAATAGCATAATATCCTTTGAGACATCACCGGACAGCAAATACTGAATCAAATAAATTACATAAATGGAAGTAGAAGATGGAAAAGTGTATTCTTACTACCAAAAGACCTGGAGCTGAATGCAGTAGGGACCATGCACTGTTAATAGTAAAAATCAGAGTAAAGCCAAAAAAAGGTCACTAACAGTAGTACCAAATTACAATGTTAATAACGTTCCTGAGGAATTCAGAGTCCATATAAAGAATAGATTTACATTACTGAACTCAGTTGACCATGAGCCAGAAGAACTGTGGATTGAAACCGGAAACATTATTAGGGAAGAATGCAAAAAGACAATTCCTCTAGTAAAAAAGAAAGACAAGATCTTAGATGAATGATGAGAGAAACTCTCACACATGCTAAGGACAGGTGAAAAGCAAAAGGTGACAAAAATATTTCATTCATCGGGTAACCCTGCGTCAGAGACAAATTGATGGCACATAACAACACAAAGAAACAAAGTCCAGCACTTTCTGCAGGACTTCACCGTGAAACACCTCAAACCACCAGGAGTTCTTACAAAAACTTAGTCTAAATTCCTTTTCTTTTGATTTGAGCCTGTTGGTTCAGGTCCTATCCTCTGGAGCAGCAAAAATCGAATTTGCCCTTCATCTTTTGGGACAGCTGTCCAAGATGATTGAGAATGGTGATCCTATTACTTCCCAGATTTCCCTGTCCAGACACTTCTCCAAAAGGCATGCACAACCCGATTCACCCCTACCGTGTTTCCCTTTAGTAATACTAAAAACAAACAAACAAACAAACGAAAACAACGCAGAGGCAAAATGCTCAAATGCTTCACTGCTTCCTGCCGCGATCATGTCAGCAGGCGTTTCTTCTGTGCTGGCAAACCAAACCAGAGCCTTACAAGAAAGGAAAAAAGACTGGCACAAGCCACCTTAACGAACAAGCAGGAAGTGAGGGGCTGGCCTCTCCCACCAATCGGGTGGGAGGATCCCCGTGATCGCCGTGCGGCTCCGTAGCCAAGGGAAAGGGAAGGGGAAATGACGGGTCAGCCGATGCTGCTACTGTGCGGGGGTAGCTGGAGGCCCGCAGCGACACAGATGGCCCCCCTTTGGACCGATGGCTGATGCAAACCTCCCAAGCGGTCCGGCCGCGCGCGCTGACGCCCTGGAGCACGACGGCGGCGATCGCCCGGCGCCTCAGACGCTCGGCTGCAGTCCTGGAGCAGCATGTGCCACAAGTGGGAGCGCAGGTGTTGTAAGGCTCCCCCTCCCTCGGGCGCGGCGGGAGGGAAGAGAACCCGTTGGCGTTGCTTATTTAAAGGAGTGGTGCCTTGGGTCTCCATTTTGCTGTGTAGACTTGGTTGTGTTGGGTCTCCATTTTGCTGTGTAGGCTTGGTTGCTGTTGGGTCTCCATTTTGCTGTGTAGGCTTGGTTGCTGTTGGGTCTCCATTTTGCTGTGTAGGCTTGGTGTTGGGCTTTGTTTTTTAAGCAAGGATGTGACAGATAGCAACGCCTTTTTGTAGTGGGACGGGGTGTGGGTGCTTGAGAAGCTGCGTTTGTGTTTGGATCAGGGAATACTGATAGTTCAGGAATCTTTCAGCAGGTTGTGCTGAATGTACATTGGATTTGCCAGACGAGTATGTACTTCAGAATGAACTCTGAAAACCTTGAGCAAACCAGCCAACCAAACCTGGAGTTTTCCAATGAAAAGCATCAGGATTTTCCAGAAATTTAAGGCGCTCCTTGGTCAATCAAGTTCTTTGAGATGCATACAATGTACATACAACTAAAATTACAATCTATAATTTCCAACCCATTATAGTTCTAGGCTTTTAAGGTTTGTGCATGGGCATCATTTTTCAAAAGTGATTTATACTAGCTATTTCAAATGTATGGAAAACAGCATAGTTCTGTTATCTGTTCTCCACATCATGCCCAACAGAATGACATTTGAGGAAAAGAAAATGAGTGGATCATGTGCCAGGAGCCAGTGCTGTCAAAATACTATTGCCTTGATTTTAAAGTAGTAGCACTCGCCATGCGCTGCTGGGGGCAGTTATGTGGACTGAGAGTCATATGACCAAAGCCATTCCAAGCTCAGCTGCCAGATGAATCTGGGGAAATGTTGCTGTCGGCCCTGCTGTTTGTTTCTGTGAAATAGGACTGGTGGTGGCTGAAGCATTGGCAAGTGCTTCCATTTGACTGCTGGATCTAGATAGTAGTGAAAGAGTGTAGGGATACACTGCATACAAACACAGCTGCATCCCATCCTCGACTGAGTGAGTGCTGGGCCATTTTTCACCTTCATTGCGAAAGCTTTCTTTCCCTTCTGGAGCGCATGGCAGCTGTTCACTTCTATCCTCAGAGCAGGGTGGGGACGAATCTGTCTTCTGCCTCTGGTGGCTGCAGTGACACCAACTTCAGAAACCATCCTTCCACCTATCCACGTATCTCCTTCCTGGTGAAAGTTGCTTGAGTGTGCAAGCGAAACAGGCTAGAAACTGGTGTCACGCACCGCTTTAAAGCGTTCTATTATTCTGTTACTTTGCAGATCTGCCAATATTTTTCTTTGCAGAATGGCATCAACCACTCTGCTAAAATTCCTGCAATAGCACTGACCTAAATGAATGAGCTATGTAGACATGATATTATTAGCATTATACATATTATAGATCAATTATTTCCAAATTATCCACAAGGCAAATAACTTGGAATAGCCTGTTATTCTATTTCAAGATAATTTAACCTAATCTGATAATAGTGATAAGACAAAAATGTAATTGTCTGATAATGGATTCCTGGGCTGCACAATAACTCTAAGTCATTGTAGCAAATCAGTTTGGGAATTGTGGCTTTAAACACAGCAAAAATCTTTCTTAACACATTCTACTGTTATTTCCTCCTGTTTAGAAAGAAATGTTACTAAGAGATCCATCACAGAATTTTCGGCACAGTTACCAAAAAGAAAAAATCATCAAGAAGAACATACAGGAGCACTGCGAACCTGGCTGCTTGCTCTCCTGAATTTTTAGCAACCATCCTTTTTGCCATTTGGCTTTAGGAGTCAGGGACCCCGAAACCTATAGCCAGTTAACGTGGAAAGAGCAGTGCAGCCAATCAAGCAGCCAGGCTCCAGCCCAGTTTGCCTTATCTCCCTTTGATCAAATTATGTAGCATAAATCAACTGGGACATGGAAGAATATTCCTTGCATATTGGCATACAAAGCCAAAGTCCCAATTCCAATTAAAAAACTTTATTGAAGCTGAAGAAATTTGATCAGGGAGAAATCAAGCAAGGAAAGAAATAGGTTTGCCTCTGTAGAGCTTTTCCCCGAAGGGTTACAAAACCAGATTCCAACTTACAAGTGAGTGGCAGCATCATGGATGACCCATCAGATGGGAGGCAGCCCTGCCTTGATTCTGTGCAGCACGGTGAATGGAGCTTAATATGAGGGAAGAGAGCCTGCTTAGGAATGTGGAAGGGAGCTTGGAGGTAAACTGCACCAAGTCAGGTAGAATGTGGGGAGCCAGTATTGCAAATTAGGAAAGGGCAGAGAGATAAAATAGCATTAACATTGTCATGGCTAACTAGAGCTCAAGGCTTTGTGGGTCTTCCTGCTAGGGGTTAGAAGTCACTGGAAGTCTGTGGCCCAGGGAAAATCCGTGGAGGGTGTGAATAAAAATATTATAGGTTAACGCCCTTCCTAGGTAAGGCCTGCAAAGTAAAGGAAGGCTTGGGGAAGGTGCAGATTAATCCCACCCACCTTCTCCTAATCTAATTTCTTCCTCAAGACAGCCAGTGTGATGCAGTGGCACAGCGCTGAGACTGGGGCAATTCGGATTCCAGTCCCTGCTCAGCCAACTGGGTGACTTTGGGCCAGCCACAGACTCTCAGCCCAACTTGCCCCACAGGCTGTTGTTGTGGGGATAAGATTGAAGAGATTGATGTAAGCTGCTTTGAGATATACTGTATACTGTGTATACTGGCTTGTCTCACATGTGTTTAGCTAGGCTGAATGGAGTAACCAAGGATTCATAATTTCAGACAACTCTCCCAGTCTTTGAAAGCTTTCCTAAAGCAGCATGACAGCACCAAGCCTCGCTGTTGGTTTCAGACAGGCAAATGTTGCAGGTTTTCATATCCGCCCCACAAAAGCTGCTGAAAGAGAAGCATGGGGAGGGGGGTGAGCATGTGGGCAAGGTAGCGCTGCTTTTCTCAAGTCACTTGTGCTGGGCTGCCCCATTTTCACCCTCAGTAACAACACAGACTGAGTTGCTGAGGGATCTCTTGGTCCAAAACTGGTGAGAGCCAGCCTGGTGTGCTGATGAAACTGCTGGACTGGGGTTCAGGGCACCTGGGCTTGAGGCCCCGCTCGGCCATGAAGCTCACTGGAGGACTTGGGGCCAGCCGCTCACTCTGAGCCTAACTTCCCCAAGAGGGTTGTTGTCTGGCTAAGACAGGTAATGGGAGGAGAGCTACTGAAGCCACCTTGCATTCCTCAGAAGAGGAAGAAGGTGGGATAGAGATGTAACATCACAGTATCAACAACAGCAGAAATGCAGGCATGAGGAACCTCAAAGATGGCCACAGGAGCTCCCCATCTGGCCAGCTAACAGAACGGTAATCTCTTCAGCACAGGTCGTGGTCTGAAAGAGTGGTTGAGGGAGCAGTTCTGTGACCACCCCCTTGAGCTCTGTGAGGACACCCGACTCCATGATGCTGCGTATGTGGGGGACTTGCAGACCATTAGAAGCTTGCTGCAGGAAGAGAGCTTCCTAAGGTAAATCTTCATTCTGTGGCATCTGAACATGCAACCAAGGATCCATTGTCCCCGTCTGCCTCGTGTGGGCAGTAATTAGCAGAGGAGGACAGGGATCAGCATCGTGCCTCCACCTGCTCGCCTGTGGGTTCCACCTCTCTGATCAATACTTGCCATTTTGGCAGAGCTCAAATGACTCGTGGGCTTCCTGTGGTAACAGTTCAGGCATTCAGCTGTAGATTAGTACTGGACAGATGAGCGTGAGTACACTCAGTGATGAACTGTGCCCATGTTTCTCTTTCCAAAATGAGAAGCATGAAAAGATCATTGGCATATCTCCCCTCAGGATGAGAGTAAATAGGACTTAGGTGGCACCACCTACATCATCCAAGGTTTAAGGTGGTACTGTTTCACATTTCTAGCTTTTTAAAGCTTTCTTCTGGTGACCCCAGTTAATGTCTTTTATATAATACGAGAGGGTGCATGGAGACATTCCTTCAGCAGCTAGCAACAGGGAGAGTACAACTTGTCTTCAATTTCTGCCCCATGCTCCTTCAGAACCGTGCTGGCTCACAAGGTGGCAGTGAGGCAAACTCCAGGCACATTTGCAGATAGCTGAGTTGTGCTGCTTTTGCCTTTCTTCAGGCGTATCAATGAGAAGTCCGTGTGGTGCTGTGGTTGGCTGCCTTGTACACCACTGCGGATCGCTGCCACGGCTGGGCATGGAGATTGTGTGGAATTCCTGATCCAGAAAGGGGCAGAGATTGATCTTGTGGATGTGAAAGGACAAACAGCCTTGTATGTCGCTGTTGTGCACGGGCACTTGGAATGCACACAGATCCTTCTGGAGGCTGGCGCTGACCCCAACGGGAGCCGTCACCACCGCAGCACCCCCATCTATCACGCTGCTCGGGTTGGCAGGGCTGACATCCTGAGAGAGCTGATCAGGTAAGTACCAAATCATTTTACATCTTCGTGAGATGGGCCAATTACCTAGCATGCAAATAGAATAATTAGGGAAAGGATCCTCAATGTGCTAATTACAACAGGCAGCAACGGCCAGGAAGAGAGGAGGGGTGGAGTGGGGAGGGAGCCCAAGGAAATAGAAACTTGCAGGGGGGAAAGCCAGAGTATTCCTGTATGCAGCTGGCAGAAATTCAGAGTCTTTCCCAACATTGCACTCTGCTTGTTTGTGTAGAACATTTCATGAGCTGCCTTTCCACCTAAAAGGTGATCCTCAGGGCAGCACACTCTGGTTCACTCCACTGTAGCCTTTCCGAAGGCCAGTTGCCAGAGGTGCCCATCGTTCAGTGAAGGCAACATCAGGAGGTACCTGACACACATGAAATTCCTGTCACTGATCAAAACAACACAGACCAAACATTGACTTCACAGTTTTTTCATTTGTGTTTATTAAATATGTTTACCCTGCTTTTACATCCATAGAGGCCCCTCAAGGCAATAGGTCAACAATACAGATATTAAAAACAGATAAAATACGTTTCACCACTACAAGTAAAACTCCATTCTGCAAAATTCAGGGAGAGAAGCTCAAAACCAGAAGCAAACCGCAATGAAAGCACCAAACAAAATGATCACTTACTGCTTGGTGTCTTAACCTTGCAGCTGAAGGCAGAAAAGGAGAGAACTGACCAGGCATTCCTGGGCAAATTCGGTGTGTCACCACCGAGGAGGCTCTGCCCCACTTAACTCCCTATCATATCTCAACTGTCTGTGAGATACAGAGCAGGGCCTCTTGTGAAGATTTACACTCTCAAGTCAGCTTGTAGGGAGTGAAGAGTTTATTTCAATGGGAAAGCTTTATGCATTTATGCTTGAAGTGTGAATCCACTGGAAAACATGCGACTTAAAAGTGGTTAACTTTGGCTGGATGGTGTTTGATTGGGACCATTACGTTTGCTACCAGTTATGCAGCTACAGCTAATCCCAGTTCTTTAGCTGTCATGCCTGCATGCCTTTTAACTGTCAGAAGTGCTTCCTGGCATCCAAAGGGAACCTTGCTTCCCTCAACTTGGCTCCATTGGAGCACATCTTGCCCTCCTCTGCAGGGGAGAACAGGTCTCTACCCTCCTCCATGTGACACCCCCTCATGTACCTATAAGTTGCCCACAGATCCCCTTGGAGTCTCTTTTTCTACACTCATTAGTGTGTGGAGGGGAGCAAGGATTGCTGATGGCCTTCACTCCACTCATGAGGGTCAAGCCCACCCTTGCCCCACAGCTGCCCGCCTCAGTGGGTAGCGGCTTCCCTTGCTCCACCCTGCCTCTGCCTTGAGCATCAGCAGGGCAGGGGCAAAGCTTCTGGCAACCACCCCACGTGCATTTGGGCAATTTGGGGACTGGGGTCAGAGGCCCAGCCTCTACAGCAGCGAGGTCTGTGGCCGCTCTTGCCAGGTAGCCTTGTGAAGGTGGGACTGCCCCGGGGCTTCTCATGATGTCTAGGGTTCAGTAACGGCAAGCCCCGGGTAGCTACTGATCCTACAACAATGTGGGCTTCAGAGCCACGCCAAACATTCCAGGGAGGGTTTATGCAACACAACAAGCCCCCATGGTTTATGTGGCAGGGAGATCTGTGGCCACAGCAGGCAGGCTCCCTTGCTCTCTTGTGCGCCCCCCCCCCACCGCCTCCCAAGGGCCAGAGCAGGGGTACCACAGCTTATTGGGCAGAGGCAGCCTGCTGGTGGCCATGCTCTTTGCTCCTCCTCCATTCCTCTCTCTTGTGGCAGCAGAAACCGAACAGAAAGGGAAAGCCTTGCATGACACCCGAACTCCCCTGCTTGTCTGTTGCCCCTAAATAGCCAGGCTTACAAGCCAGGAAAGAAACAGGACTTTGTGGTGGCCTATGGATCCTCCTCTTGGGGCGAAGCCAACCCGGAGTTTGGAATTAGACTTCATCAGAAGCTTTCCATTTCTGATCTCCTTCCCCTGCTGGTGTGAAGGGAGAAGTAAACAAACAAACACAGAAGCAAGTCAGCAACGATTGATCAGCAGTTCTGGCTTATTGCCATGTAAGAAGAGCCACAAACCACACAGGGCTCCAGATTTAATCAGAGCAGAGGCATAAGGGTGTGTGCCATCTTTTCTCGCAGGCCATTTCCCCCCACAAAATGTTGCCTCAGTTAAATTGTCACACATGGGAGAAAATATATCAGGGGCACATATCTTTTCTTCTGCACAGGGAAAAGCAGTGAGAGCAGGGCAATTTATGAATTGACTTTCCAATAAATGGATTAGCTCCCAACACCTGACTGACTTGACAGAAAAAAGCACCTGTGCAGCCATTTGCAATGTACAAAAGCTCTTTCTCTTTCTCTTTTGGGTAAAGTAGTATGTGACTCAGCTTAGAAAAGTCAATAGCATGATGGCTACACTCCAGCCCTCCACCAGGCTGTCTCCAAAGGGAGACCAAAGGCTGAGGAACCCTGAGGGCACTGACCCCGTGACGGTGGCCCCAGCTGCCTAGGCAAGAGGAGCAAGGAGAATTGGTCCAGCGTCCCACAATTTGACAACCCCCTATGGCTCATCCCCCGTGATGGGTTTTGCTGAACACACTCAGTAGTAGTGAAAGTGAATAATGACATGCTCTCCCTCTCTCTGGCTTTGAAACGTGATACTCTCAGAGTTTAGAAAGGTGACATTCTTCAGCTAGAGAGATGGGATAGTAGTTCAGAGTTTTAATATAAAGGTCAAGAAAGCTGTGAGGTGGCTGAAGAGAGGGCATTTCTCAGAGTGCAGGAGCTCTCGTGGAGGACTGAAGTAAGGTTAGCGGCTGTGCTGTTTCCTGCAGGAATCGGTTTATTTCCACTGTGTTCTGCTTGTATGTCTGAAAATAAGCAGAGGAGCCATATGTCTCCAGGGTAGGCTCTGCTGAAAGAAACTGGAGTGTGTTGAGTGGCCTCTGGAATATCATTATTTGGGAAATGTAGTAACAGCATTTCATCTTTAAGCATTTTCTGTCTGTAATCCTGTAGGTACTTCCTGAGCCTGGGAAAGATAGTGGGAAGTTCTCAGGTGTGTGTTTGAGGGTCAAGGGGAAAAAAAAGCTGAGAAACAAACCCTGTATATGACCCCACTAGGTTTGAGCCATTTCATGATTTCATGTGCTGTCTGAATGCGCAGCTTCTTATATGCAGGTATGACTAACTTAGCAAGGAACTGTTCATGCCCTTCAAAATGGCATTTTCCAAACTCTGCAAAGAGGAACAAGCCCTAGAGACAAAAGCTGGACATCTTAAGAAAACTTGGCCCAGAATACCAACCTTTACTTATTAACTGGCAGAATTATATAATTAGAAAAGCAGAAGCCCTCCTTTCAGACGCCTTGGATGGGAAGACATAATTATTCCTCATTCATTTAATTGCTCCACGCAGACATCTTGGAGACTTCTGCTTAGAGTGGAATCCTCTCCCTGGACAGAGCCAAGCCAAGCCAAACACTCTGCTGGTTGTGCTGCATTTTGGCTGGATCATTCTTACGCCTGAGTTCTTTTTCTTTTTAGCTTTTATTATGTACAGAATGGCAGCTGCTTTCCTACACTAGTTTGCTGGGCGTTTGACAAAGACTTCAAATAGTCCACAGAATTTATATTTCAAACCAATACATTGCTTCAGATGCTTAGAGGTGGGGCTGGTGGAATCCTGCTGTTCAGCAGTAAAGAAGGAATGGTATTTGGCTCCTTACTTGAAAAGGAGGTTTTGTATATCTTATATTTTGCCAACGCTAATTGTCACATCTCTGGCATGTGTGCACATATTGATTGCCCTCTGAGAATGAATGAAAGATGTGTAAGTGGCTCTCCAGAAGACAACAAAGTAAGACGTGCTGGTATTCATGTGAGCACCCAGCAGTGGGAAAGGCATTCCTAAAAGGTGGAAGATGCAACAGACAAGCCAGTAAAGGGGGCAGGAGGATGCTGAACCCTGCTGACGCACAGGACCGCTTTCCCCAAGTTGGTGCCTTCCAGATTTTGTGCACTTACACTTCCATTAGCTCGTGCTCACATTGCAAATGGTCACAAATACTGGGAGTTGTATTCCAAAGAATCTGGAGGGCACCAGTTTGGGGAAGTTTCCACTAGCCCATACGGAGAACAGCGGTGACATCCTGTATTTTGCCACTGAAAGAAGCAGCCTGCATGTATTAATTCATGCACTATTGTATAGCTACATTCATGTCAGCCTTCTTGGAAAATGGCAGCAATAGAATCAATGCCAAGGAATGCGCATGCCTACGTAAGTTCATGCCCACAGTGCCTCACAGAAGTGTTCATCCATAAATTTTCCATAGTTTGCTGAGTAACAACCTGGAGTTGAAATTGATTTAAGTGCACCTTGACAGTGTTGAACATCAAATGGGAATAATGCCAATTATTATTTCAATTTGAGGCTGGAAAACAACACACATGGAGAAGTCAAAGGTGTGGCAGGGAGTAGTTCTGCAAGGCACTGTAACTGGGCTTGAAAAATATATGAGTTCCAAGGTTCTTTATGCATCAACCTTTTAAGGGAGTCCAGGGCAAATCCAGGATTAAGGATTACTTGTGCTGCTGTTACATAACATTGAGAACTGAACTGTTCTCATAACTGTTTATGGAACATGACAACCTGTCATGGGTAAAAGACTATAATAGGAGCCAGTTTCATGTTGTGTGAACCTAGACTATTTCCCACAGGATAGTTTTCTGGACCAATAGAAAGACAGACAAGTGGGTCCTAGATCAAATCAAGCCAGAGCTTTCCCTAGACGCAAAAATGACTAAAACTGAGGCTGTCGTACTTTGGACAGATCATGAGGAGGTAAAAACTCACTGGAGAAGAAAAACATGTTAGAGAAAGTCTAAGGCAGAAGACAAAAAGGAAGACCAAAAATGAGATGGATTGAATCCATAAAGGAAGCCACACCCTTGATCTTAGAAAAGCTGAATGGAGTTGTCATGGACAGAACATTTTGATGGGCTTTTATTCATAGGGCTGCCCTAAGTCGGAGACAATTTGACAGCACATGACACATTCCGTTTGCTCAGTGGCAAGCCATCTTGACAAACCATGGCTTGTTGCTGGGGTTGCTTTATTTACCATGGCTTGTTTTGGTCCAGGCAAAAGACCACATTGTGTTCTGTAGGCTTTTTAAGAGTTTCTGCTGGGAAACACAAAAGTTCTAAGTAGGGAGAGCTGGTGCAATCTTGGTCCCTCCGGCCTCTCACATTCATCTGCTTAACTCAGCCTTGCCCCAAACGTAGTTTGGGGGAGTGGAACAGAAGGATGCAAAAATATGGCAGTGTAACCTCTGAAGAGAAACCTCTCTGATACATTGTGGTTTACTCTTAATAAAATCTGCCAGATTTTGTCTACCCTTTTATCTAACCTCTTCCAAAATCTCTCCTGGTGCTCTTCTGGCATAGCTCCTTGCAAGAGCTAAAAATGCTGGATAGAAGGGTTGCGCAGTACTTGTGGTGGTGGTGGTGGTAGTAATGGATTATGTATGGTGGGGGCTGTGGTGTACTGTTCTGTAGAAACATAACGAATCAGAAGGGGCCTCCTGGGCCATCTAGTCTGACCCCCAGCTCCAGCCAGCTCTGCTCATGACATGCCTACCATGTGCATGTCTAGCCTATCCTTGAACACCTTCATCGATGGGGCCTCAACCACCTCCTGTGGAAGCCCATTTCATACCCTTGGGGTCCTAACTGTCAGGAAGTACTTCCTGGCATCCCCTCTGAATCTTGGTTCCTGGAGCTTTGCTTCATTGGAGCGCATCCTGGGCATCCTGCCCTCCTCTGCAGGGGAGAACAGGTCTCTACCCACCTCCGTGTGACACCCCCTTACATACCTGTATGTCGCCAAGAGATCCCCTCTGAGTCTGCTCTTCTCCAGGCTGAAAAGACCCAGTTCCCTCAGTCTCACCTCATACGGCATCCCCTGCAAACCAGCCACCAACCTTGTGGCCCTGCGCTGCACTGACTCTAACCTGGCTATATCCTTCCTGTAATGAGGGGTTAAATCCTTCCTGTAATAATCCAGTATGATGGATAGCACTTGTAGGCATCACTGTATCCCTGCAATATGGTCACCTTTCAATTAGCTTCTTATATTTCCCAAGACAGACACAGAGCACATGCAGGTTATTTTGCTTTGGCAAGTGGACACTCCATGCAAGATTGTTTTTCATTTTTCCCATAGAGGGCGGCAGAATTCTGCTCATCTCTAGGGTCTTGGCATTGTTTAGCTGGTGTTCTGATTAGTGAGGACTTTCTAACTTTGTATGTGAAAATCATCCTAGCAAGCTGGCTACTAGTACTGTCAGCACTAGAAAAAAAAATATTGATTCTTGTCCGTAACTCCATGCCATGAAAAGTAGACAGTTGGGACTGCTCCTGGAAAAGGATGTATAAAAGCTCTTTCTTCACCCCATTCAGAGTGTTGCACTGCTCTGTACTTCCTTACAGAAGAAGGGAAATAATTTGTTCTAGAATACATTCTTGTTCCCTAGCAACTAACAATAGGCATACCATTTTTGGTGGGCAAACTCTGCAGCACCACAAAAGACAAAGGCAGGGCGGTTTGACTACTGAAGAACGTTCCAGCCTGAATACAGGAAGCCACTCTGGCAGTGGAGAGTACACGTGGATCTGCCTTTTCCAGCATGTTTACCAGAAGGCAGATCTTTCTGTCACATGAGCTTCGTGTTTAAGCTATAGAAAGAGTGAGATGTAAGAGTAGCGCTGGGATGCTAGTCAGGGCTTGCCCCAGTTAAGGACTTCCTGGCATTATGTACCCAGATCTTATTGCAGATTTAGCCTGATGGAGGGAGGGCGGTCTCTCGCCCACACTCACACACTCCGCTGTTCTGGGAGTACAGCACATCCGATCCAGCTGGGGCAGATGTCACGCTCAGCCCTTCTGGGCTGCTTTTGTCCATCAGCGAGAATTCTGAGGCACAGTCTTTGTCTAGCTGGACTTACAGGAGATCACATTTGTGAGTTGCTAGAATCAAGAAGCAGCCTAGCAATTCACATGCGGTTGCACAAAAGAACCTTTTAAAAGGAATTCTGTTTTCTTTCCCCAGATATGGCGCCGATGTGGATGTTAATCATCATTTGACCTCTTCCCGACAACTCACATCCCTTGTGGTCTGCCCACTGTATATTAGTGCAGCCTATCATAACCTCTCATGTTTCGAACTGCTTCTGCAAGCAGGAGCCAACCCAGATTTCAACTGCTGTGGCCCAGTAAACAATCAAGCATTCTCCAGGAGCTCTGCAGCATGTGTGATGGATGCAGTCTTGCGCCACGGCTGTGATGTGGCTTTTGTCAGCCTCTTAATTGACTTTGGTGCCAACCTGAATCTGGTGAAATGGGAAACTCTGGGGGAAGAAGCAACAGCAAGGATCAAAGTAAACCCAGAAGCCATGCGGGTGTTCAAAGAAGCCAGGAGTGAGTAGAAAAAGTTCTTTTGGCACTTTTAGCCCTGTAAAATGAGAGCTTGATGAACGAAATGCACATGGATTAGCCAGATTATGTGCTGAATTTTCTTGGGGACAGGATTTACTTGACTGATGAATGCTAGAAAATATTTTCTAATATTTAATTACAAAATTAAATAGCATCAGATTACAAGAGTTTAAGGAAGAGGTTTTTTATTCAGAAAGCATTTATATGCTACTTTTCATATTAATTTCAAGGGGACGTCACAAACTACAACCAATTAAAAATCCGTACAATAATACTTTCTAGCAAAGCATCAGTAAAACAAAAGTGAAACAGCAGGAAATAGCACAGCCATAAATTCCATATAAAAGTCAGAAAAAAAGCAATCAATGTTCAAAGGCCACCTGAAACGAAAACCTGCCTCATCTGCAGAAAGTTAGCAAGGAGAGAGCCAAACGGGTCCCATTGCAACGGTCATATTCTGTGAGTTTGATGGTGGCAAAGCCCTATGAAAAGAAAGCTATTAGGCCTTTCGCAGGGGTCACAGGGAGGACTTGGAATGGGGCCTAGAAATGGACTGGCATCCAATTTGACATGATATTCAAACCTCGGCATTTGTAAAAACAGTCAAGCCTCAACTTTCATGGGTTCAACTTTAGCAGATTTGATTATTCACAAGTTTGCCATCAATAATTAAATAGGATTTTGGGGGTGGGGGGAGCTTCGTAGCCTGCTGCAAAAAATTGACATCACCGTGGAGAAAGAGAAAACGAAAGGGGGGGGGGCCTCCAAAACATGCCCTCTTGTCCCACCCATCTGGAGCTGGAAACCCCTCTGGCATTTCCTTGGTGCAAAGAGGCGGCCCTGGTGGGTGAAAGGGAGGGCGGGGAATAAGAACATAAGAATGTAATAAAGGAAGAAGGGGAGCCCTGCTGGATCAGATGGAGGCCTGAGAGAGAAACGGAGAAGCAATCCAGGACTCATGTGGTCAACTGTATTAAGAGCAAGGTTGGGGAAGCCTGGAGGTATTTGCATTTTTTCACTTTCATGGGGGTCCAGCCCCCAACCCCCGTGAATGTGGAGGGCTGACTGCATTAACTTACTGCTGTCAATAGGTTGCCACATTGTCCAGTAGCCAAGGTTTCTAAATTGGCTTCAGTGTTAGTTCCGCATACAAGGAATTACAGTAGTCTGCAATGGCTGCAGTATCAGATGGTTAACTATGAGCAGCAGTCTACAGCAGCAGCAGCTGCTTTCTTACAGATGAGAGTAACTCACTAGCTAACCGATCCATTGGATTTTCCCACTATCATCTGTCTTACCTGGACTGCACTTGTGTATTATCGTCATCCAGTTACTCATTAAGCAACACAAACTCTTTGTCACTTAGACAAGAAATTGATTCGTGCTGAACATAAATGTACTAGAATGCAACTTATTTCCACTTCAATTGAATTGGGCAGCTCCAATATTAGAAACCAATGTGACTGATTTTCACAGACTCAAAGAATAGTAGAGTTAGAAGGGGCCGGAAGGCCATTGGGTCCAACCCCATGCTCAGTGCAGGACACCAGGTTAAACCAATTAATTGATAAAGGCTGAAAGCATTTACTTTAACAAATATTTAACAACGTTTGAATCTTAATGTACAGGCATTTTGGCTTGTTGGACCAAATTCCCATCTTGCCCTCACACCCACTGGATTGGCCTTTTTTGGCAAGAAGTATGATTGTACCTGCTAAAAATGTGTAATTATTAACAGCATGGTCCTCAGACTACAGCCCGTGGGCCAAATCTGGCCTGCCTCAGAGGTTTTGGACTCGCTCGGAGAAAACGATCTCCAAGTGAGTCCAAAAGCTCTGAGCCGGCGCAGGTGTACTCAGTGGGGAGATGGCCACGATTGCGGTCACGCTCGTGCAGAGAAGACGGGCACAATCATGGTTGTGCTTCTGGGGGGAAGATGGCTGCGATTGCACCCGCCTTCCCTGCACAAGCACGCCCACAATCGCTCCCATCTCCGCCCCCCCAAGCATGCCAGCGATCAGGCCAGTCTCCCCCCCCCTCAAGCACACTCGCGGCCATCTTAACCCCCCAAGCACAATCGCGGACATTGTAGCTACGTCCCTTGAATATGGACATGCTCTTCCCCACCTCATCTTGGACTTCTGTTGCAGCCCAAGCAAGCAGAGCAAACATTTTGTAATGTTTGAATTATTTTTTAAATTTTAATTATTTTAATTATTTTTTAAAATTTTTTAATTTATTTTAACTTTAATTAACTTTTAATGTGCAGTGTGCATAGGAATTCATTCATATTTTTTTCTAACTGTAGTCCAGCCCACAACAGTCTGAGGGACAGTGAACTGGCCCCCTGTTTAAAATGTTTGAGGACTCCTGATTAACAGTGTCCAAAGACTGCAGATGGAGCAGAGGAGAAAAATTTTTTATACTGCCCTCATAGCCATAGGGCTTTCTGGGCTCTCATATAAGTAAAGTCAGATCTTAAGTACTTGGTTTGCAGAGGGCATTCCTGTGCTCATTTAACTTGAGAGAAAATGGGGTCAAGTAGACCGGTAAGTACAAGCAATCAAAATTGGGGCTGCTGTCTGTAAGGACTGTCTTAAAAATTGAGGTCTGAGATGACAGTTCCACTACTGGTAAATTCATTAGTTGCTTAAAGGAAAACTGTTATTGCAGTTCAGAGGCTTAGGGGGGTTTATAACCTTTTTAAAGTGTTCTTCCCTCAGCAAGAGAAAGAGTGGCAACTTCACTAGACACAGAGTGACAGTTTTATACCCTGGTTCATTCTTCTACTCTCTTACTGTCTGTTTCTTGTGTGTTTAATTTCAGGGTGTCCTAGGAGTTTGATGAGCCTGTGTCGTGTTGCAGTGCGGGGGGCGCTTGGAAAACACCGCCTCGACCTGATACGTACTCTCCCAGTCCCAGACCCTATCACAAAATTTTTACTTCATGAACAGTAAAATCTGCTATGATGATACAGAGGAAAATTTCCTTTTGGGGTGTCCATTTTTAAGAGTGAGCTATTGAGATAAGAGCAGTACTTCCTTAGCGCTGTTCAATATACGCTTTGGTCAATGCCATGAAGATTCTTTTTTTGCCATACTACCTCCATTACTTACTCTTTGAATGTGGATTTTAGCAAGTGCCAGCCTGATGACTAGGATATGATATAATGCCTCAGTTGAAAAAGATAGGATATGATCCTGTAAGTTAGTATAGGCAATGTATTTATTATTTTGTTTACTTTTTAATATTTATTGAAAATAGTCATATGCTGCTTATTCAAAAACATCTGAAAGTAGTTTCTGTATTTATTTAGATTCACACCTACCTCTAATGAGGGCTCAGGATGAGTTATAAACAGAAAGTAGATCCTCTGGAAGGTTTCCATTGAAATTACACGCATAACCTCCTTCGTTGATTTTATTTTGGTTTCAGCCTTTCTTCATATCTTAGCACACAACCATCCCCAGCCCTGCTGCCATCTACTTCCTACTCATGAATTTCAACCACAAGCTTTTTCTCACATGCAACATTTGCCATGGCTTGGAATTGCACCGGTGTGATGGCTGCTCTCTATGATGAGCCATTTCTGGAAAGCAATTGATGCATGGGCTAGCTGATACCAAACCGCTTTTGCTGCAGTTCAGTAAGCCAGCAAAAGGAATGTGTTACAGTGACATAAAGACAAACCACATGGCTTGCTTAGAGCCGCCACCATATGAATTCAATTTTAAGCAACTCCCACATGGTAGGCATTATGTGTGAAACATGCCTTATCTCAAACCCACCTGTCCAGTTCTCATTCATTATATATCTTCTTCCTGTTCCCTAATAGCTATATCTTCCCCAAAACCACAATTTGCACAATTTTCTGTTAAATAGGTAGGTGAGTACATAACCCAGTTCTTTCAGCCTATTCAAACAATCACCAGAAAGACCAAAGACTCTTTTGGTTTCCAGAGGAAAAACCAGCATTAATAGCATTGATTCCCATTAGTGAAACCTGCAACTCTGTGTAGTTATGCAGCTCTGATGGTTAGATTGAAGAGCTCCTATGGGATTTGAAAGCTCGTGTACCCTGCTCCAATCGGAGTTTTGTATGTCCTGATGATACAGATGCACCACAAGCTTATTATGGCAGGTGCTGGGTCTCCTCACCCCTGAGGCCCCTAGAGTGGTACCATTCTCCATTGTCGCTGTCCTTATTACCAGCAATTCTGGTATTTCTGTGCAACTTCTTTCAGCAAGTTGGCACACTGACATTCTTCTCCATTTGTAGCACAACTCAGAAACAGAAGTACATGTTGTATGAATGAGTATAAAACAAGCCCCATCAGTTAGAAACCACTATCGTATCGGGTAGTGCAAGATGGCTGGTTGGACAACATCTAGCTATGTTCAGCTTGGCATAAGTAGACAAAAATGTATTTTGAAGATCCTCCTGCTCAACACAAGACAGACTTCAGAAAAACCTGCATGCCCAGGGATGCAGGTTAAATAAAATGTGCAGGACAGGATTTCTGTGTACACTTCTGCCACATATGCAGTTTTAACACTTGCGTGCCCACAAATATCTGACTAAGGCTCTTGTAGTCCTCCTTGAATAATTGACTGGTTCTACTGAGCAGAATCATTACATTCCCTATTAGATATTTCCCCAATGTAAATAGAGTCACTAAACAGTAACAGTGCAGCCCTGTGCATTTCTGCCCAGAAGGAAGTCCTGCTGAGTTCTTTCTACCAACAAACTGGCCAGCAGTTAAAGTTCTCCCCTGCAGAGGAGGGCAGGATGCACTCCAGCAGAGCAAAGCTCAGGGAACCAAGGTTCAATTTGGATGCCAGGAAGCACTTCCTGACAGTTAGGACCCCAAGGGTTGGAATGGGCCTCCATGGGAAGTGGTTGAAGCCCCATTGGTGAGGGTGTTCAAGGATAGGCTAGACATACACATAGTGGGCATGTCGTGAGCAGAGCCGGGGGTCAGACTAGATGGCCTAGGAGACCCCTTTGGACTCGCTCCGTGTTCTCACAAAAAGTTGAATATAGAAACAAAGCTTAGCAGGCCTCTAAATTATGTATATTTGCAAGATGAATCACTAGGCCAAAGAGACAAGGAATGTGAGAGACTGCACAAAAGGGATGGGTTTGGGCAATTTAAATAAGTGTGAATGAAACTAATTTAGCAACATGGTAGAGAACACAGGCATAGGCTGGCACATAACTATAGTTATTTTGAGTAGAATGGGCAGCCACACGTGGCCTATAAATTCTGAATTTCTGCATATAACCATGTAACTGAGAAGCAGCAGCAGATATCAAGCAAGAATTCCTATTTATTCAAGGACTCTTTTTTCATTTGAACTGAGATCAATTTTAAGTTAATTTTAGATTGATTCTTTTGAGGTTTTTTAAAACAGGCAAGGAAGCAAGATAATATTTACTTAGATTACAGTTCATGAAAATAAGATACCTAAAGGAAGCAAATTCTAGCTTTTATAAACGCATCTCATGTAGGGCTGCAGCTTACAGACCACTGCCTCCTTCCCATTGTAAACTTAGAGTCAAACCAAATGGTATAAATAAATATGAGATGTGTTCCCTTCTGTCTCCAGAAGACATTTCAAATCTTCAACCTTCCATGGTGCTCATGATAGGCTCAAGTGCTGCATGCCTTGTTATTTCAAAACCATTCTTAACATTTTAAAGTTAAGCAAGTGGCATTATTTGCCAATGAGCAATACTTGCTAGCGACAGGAACTGACTTCTGCTAATGTATTTTGTGGCTACTGCCATAAAAGAATTTCAGCAGTGATAACTTCTTATTCCACGTGCATTTTAGAGAAACCATTATGCTTAGCTGCACACAAGAGCCCTGTAAAGCATGGGTCCTCAAACTACGGCCCGCGGGCTGGATCTGGCCCACCATGGCCATTTATCTGGACCATCATAGCTCGACGTGCGCACGTGGCGAGGTGCCGGCTTGCTTGCAAGGAGATCGTTTTGGACTCGCTCGGAGAAAAGGATCTCCTTGTGACCAAGCTGGCACCTTGCCAGGAGATCCTTTTCTCCGAGAGAGTCTAAAACGATCTCCTTGTGAGCAAGCCGGCCCCGAGGCACCGGCTTGCTTGCAAGGAGATCGTTTTGGACTCTCTCGGAGAAAAGGATCTCTGCCCACGCATGTCCCTGCCTTGCTGCGCACTCACGCACCCCCCCCCACCCCCCGCCCATACCACCTTGGCGGCCTGCGCCCATCACTGGCACTTTTCATCTGGCCCCCTACTCAAAAAGTTTGAGGACCCCTGCTGTAAAGCATGCGTACACTGACTATGCTGCTGCACTCTAGTGGCTCCTAGCAGGAAGACTTTGTTGTTGCTAGTCGCAAAGTCGTGTCCGACCCATCGCGACCCCATGGACAACATTCCTCCTGGCCTTCCTGTCCTCCACCATCCCCTGGAGGCCACTTAAGCTCATGCCGACTGCTTCAGTGACTCCATCCAGCCACCTCATCCTCTGCCGTCCCCTTCTTCTTTTGCCATCTATTGTTCTTTCCTTCTCATTAGGTGGCCAAAGTATCTAGGAACAGTATTAATTTTGTATATGACTTTTTACTGGAAGGAAATGTGGTTATGCTTTTCATGAAGAATTGACAGTCAACTATATGGCATATGACTAGCATTATCTTGCCTAAATAGCATAGCAATGATTGTGCAGGCCCGGAGTGCACCCTTGGGGTCCAAAAAGGTGGTCATGGGACACCATTCATTTTGGACTATTATGCCCACACAGGCAGGGTCTCTCCAGGACTCCTCTCTTGACTGGCTGACACATCAATGACATTTGCAATCAGCTTCATGTTTAGTAGGAAACAGCACTCTTAAGGCAAGAGCGGGACAAAACAGCTTCAGCCATTTTCAGTGTGATACCGTTGTTTTTGCAGGTTGTGTGTGTGTTAAATATGTTTCGGTTGAGTTAACGTTGCCTTTGTATACAGCAAAAAGAAATCCAAAAAAGAATCCAGTCCCAGTTGATTGTCGATTGAGCCATCTGGACTTACTTCACAAAACATAGTCCTTGCTCAACAGGCCCTTCTGGTATGATTTACCTGGCTGCTCAAGCTCTATTTATGATATATTATAACCAGAATGATACTGGCTTTCTGGCAAGGTGAGGACACAAAGTACATATGGTCTGGGTAGGGAGTATGCCAGCCATGCAGCACCCAATGTTTCCTTATGTACCAACTCTTGCCACCTCCATTCTTGCCTTCAGCACCAATACCTGGAGATTTTAAGCACACTTTCTGCATAGTCCCCAATATACTTGCTGCTCTCTAGATAAGGTGGTCTGGTTAAGGGGACTGGATAAGGTGGTCTCTAGCACTCTGTCTTATGCATTTGAATGTATCAAGAAATGTCAGTATGGAATTCTGGAAGATATTCTTTATGTTGATGCCAAAATTTCCCAAGGTGTACCAATCAGTATTTTGGATCTGAGTCTGCCTTTGGTGGAACCGGGGATATTTTAGCAAAATAAAGATACTGAAAAACATGTGTTTTACCAGAATGTATTGATTCAGAGGAGAACAGAATGGAGATATTTATTCCATATGCAATGAGTTGAGGCCTTTGGTTGTCATTGATCAAAAGATCTTGGAAAATAATTGTCTTTGTGGCATCATTCTGAGAACTTTAGAATCTCAAGTCAAGGTCTTCATGAAAAAGTTTTCCCTGATCTGTTACTGCGGATGGTTTCTTCCATAGCTACAACACGATTATTCCACACTGCCTGCTCTACCCAATTTACTTAGAATCTAAGTAAGTCTTAGATCCACTCAGGCCTATGTCAGTTGCTACTTGAGCATGGCTTCTCATATCAATTGATTAATGCACTGTTTTGGCATATTCACTTGGAGTTCATTATGGATTTGCCATGTCTGCCTTTGAGGATTTCTGGCATCCTATGTGTGAACTTTCTTACTATACCCTTATCATCTTTGGCATTATCATTAAGTCGAGAATTAAAATTTTACTGTATCAATTGACAAAAGCATTCACTTCTCCATGGGGAAAATAAGTCAATCATCAATTCACTGTGAAAACTCTGAAGAAAGTTGAAATATTCTTACTTCTCTGAGCAGACATAAAAGATATACATTAATAAGGCTTAAAAATTTGCTCATTGCTAGTTACTCGTGCCCTTAGGCATAGAAGTGGCTTCAGCCACATTAGAAGATAATGACTTCCTGTACCCAAACAAAGCTGACACAAACTGGAGAAAAAAGCATGCCAGGAAAAATGGCATATGGCTGAGAACAAAATCAAGAACAAAAACAATGAGACAAGAAAGCAACAAAGAAGGAGCACTAAGAAAACAGTAACAATCACCCCAGCAGAATTTCAAAACTAGTGAGGAACAGGCAGACTGCAATGCCCAAGATAACATGATTTTGGCCATCTACAGGTTCCACAGAATTCAGAATAGAAAAAGAAAATTGTGATAATCCATTGCCTAGAGTTAACCATTTATACTTATATGTTGTTCTGGAAAGTGACTTAAAGACTGGACAAATGTAGGAAAAAAGCTCCCCTGGGTTGCTACCAAAATTGTTTACATCATAGAACTGATGAACAAAGAAAAAAATAACGCACAGAGAAGGGCTTTACACTTTATTCAGCTGGGGAACCAAAGTGGTGCCAAACTGACCTGGTGGGAAGCACCCAGATTGCAGTGAATGCAATGTCTCACCATGAGTCTGTTGCTATGATGAGTTGTTTACAAAAGAAATAGAAATATAGGCCATTCCTGTGGAATTTTAGCTTCAACGTGCTTGTTCATGAGAAGCAAGCAGAAAGACTCAAAGAAAGAAAAATCATGTTTTCACTCCCAACGTTAACTTATAACAAATTGTTTCCCTGGTAGGAGATATGCTAAATGTTTTGGAAATGAATATTAGGGACATTTCTATGGTGAAAGAAAAGAAAGAAAATATTATGAATTTATTCACAAATACGCACATTGGACATAGAAGTCAGTTCTCTAAAATGCTGTCTGTCTAGAGAGCCCAGCTCAGCTTTCTTTTGTCTTGCCCACGCATTGTTTCTGTAAACATACAATCACAGATGCATATGGAAGGGAAGGCTGCCCCCTTCTCTGGTTTTCCCTGTTCATAACATTCTGGAATGACCAGTTAACAGTTGTGTAACAATTAGTTCCCATGGAGGCACTTCTCTGGAACATCCCTACTATTTATATTACTTTGTCTTGTCCAAACCTTGGGCCAAATATTGCTTCAAGGCAAATGTACACACACAGTTTTTTTTGCAGACAGCAAACCATTCAAAATAGGCATCTAGAAATCACGGCTACAGTCCTATGCAATCTTTCTGGGAGTAAACCCCATCGAACAGGAGTGGAAGTTACTTCTGGGGATGTATGCATAACCAACTAAATAGCAATGATGTGAACACAGAAACAGCGAATCAGAAGGGGTCTTCTGGGTCATCTAGTCTGACCCCTGACTCCACTAATGAGATGCCTACCATGTACATGTCCAGCCTATCTTTGAACACCCTCACTGATGGGGCCTCAACCACATCCTGTGAAAGCCCATTCCATACCTTGGGGTCCTGTCAGGAAGTACTTCCTGGCATCCAAATTGAACCTTGCTTCCCTGAGTTTTGTGGGAACTTATATTCACTTGTTATTCAATTGCAAAGTCATACCTGACTCTTCGTGACCCCATGAACCACAGCATGCCAGGCAGCACACTTACTGGGCAGTAAGTTGCCTTGAATACAGTGGGGTTTCCTTCTGAGTGGACATGTATAGGACTGTACTGTGAAAGGCCAATACCTAAAAAGCTTAGGTGTACTAATGTTTCATGAAAGATGGAAGGACAGGTGAAACATAATGGCTCAATGAACAAATCAGGAAATCCCCTGGTCAAAGCTTGCTACTTCCAAAACACATTAGTTGACCAAAGATGTAACATTTCTGGAAATGCAAAGTTTACTCTTTCAGAACTCTTCAGCAATCTATTACCACTTTATTCCTTTAGGAATATAAACTGTATGATATACAACTTAGTTTGCTCATTAACTTTTAAATTAACACAATTTAAAAATAAACTCAGTAAATTTAGTATTATTGTCTGAATAAACCAAACTTTTCAATTTACTAGAACAAACAATCATTTTATGATCAAACAAAATTATGTATTTTAGGTTCTTTGATATCTTAGACCAGAGAGAATTGCAACAACTAGTCCCTGAAACACCTAAAATACATCCTAAAAACCTACAGAATCAGGAAGATCTGGAAGCCAAAGAAGACTGGTGTCAAACATCTGTTCCTGTTTGTGGAAAGGCTTAAGAAATTTCTAAAGCTGTTTCAGTTTGTAAAGTGACCTTTAAAAAGTTTTAGTCAGAAGGAATAGCTTTACAGAGTGTATTTAGCTGGAGAAGCACTCCTGTCATAAAGGGCCACCAAGCAATTTTAACTTAAGAACATTTATTGACCTCAAGTTATTCTTTAGAAAAGAGTAACATTTACAAGAGATTTCTAGAAACATGAGGAACAGAAATTAATTTCAAAGAGGTGCATGCTGAAATTCTTGGGGCTGTGAGCTCATCAGTGCTCACCACTCCTGGTCCTGAAAACTTGCAGATCGGTCTTATATTATTCCTCCACCCACTTCACTGTTTTATTTTTATTTTTTGGACAAAGCTGGTTGTATTTTCATCCTACAAATCTGGCTCGGCATCAAGCATCTTTGTGATTGTACTGCAGGAAAGTTGAGTGTCTGTTTTTTGAATTACTAATGGAAAACCCATACTGTTTTCACATAGAAACATAGAAACAGAGAGAGTCAGAAGGGGTCTCCCAGGCCATCTAGTCTGACCCACATCTATAGCCGGCTCTGCTCATGACATGCCTACCATGTGCATGTCTACCCTGTCCTTGAACACTCTCACCCATGGGGCCTCAATCACCCATTCCTATGCCCCAAGT